GCTCTGTTCCAGGGTGAATAGCGAGTCTTCAGTTGTTTTGATTGGCTGTCAGATGGGACGGAATTTTAGATTAAAGCAGTTCAGAACTATATAATGCATGTTTTTACTCAGGTTTGCTATTGCACTTGATAAACTTACAAAAATGTTTGTTTCTGTAAACTTGCCTGATACATTAAATCTGGCACTGACAATTTCCAATGCTGCTGCCTTTTTGTGAAGATCTCTATATTATTTTGTAGAAATGTTGTAAAGCTCTGGGAAATCCGTCTCAGGAAGTATTAACCTTTCCTTCATGTTTGCACAGAGGTGAACTGAGAAGCATCCTTTCTGCTCATTGGTCAGCCAATAAAACCTCAACTGATTGGTCCTTGTCAGAGCGACAGAGATGAAAAGTTGAAATTTCCTCAACTTTCTGGGACCGTGTTGCTGGCTCTCCTGTGCATGGCACATGCATAAGTGCAATATTTCACATGCACATTTTTCATGTGTCAATTACAAGGAGGGAGACCAATCGCTTTGTTGCACATATCTCTTGTCTAGCCCATAAACAGAGCCTTTTTTTTCTAAAGTTGAGCTTTTCATTTAACTCAAACCAAGTAAAACATTTTTAGTCACTCAGGACTCACATGTAGCTCCTCAGAATGAACTCTCCTCAAGCCTAACTTCATGCTCCATGCATTACCTTCACACATATTTTCCCATCTTCCCGAAGAGTTATCTTATCTAATATTTCCTTTGCCTTTGGACCATTGAGATGTTAAACGAAAAGTGATTTCTGAGGGCAATTTTTGCAGGTTCTTCTTTAACAAGCGATAGCACTATTTTGAATTATGCTCTCAGCGATGTGAAAGTTCAGACGAACACAGTCTTGATTCTCTGATGCTGTGCTTTGGGCAAATAGCATGCATGTTATAGAATACTGATTAGGCTGTTAGTAAAAGACCTGAAGCATAATGTATGGGCATGGAGTTTAGTAAATGTGCAAAATCCAGGTTTTTATAATATAAATAATTGAGATTAATATATCATTTATAAATAAATGAATACATGTTTATTCTGTGAAATTATGTAATTAGAATATTTTTTTACTTAAAATACACCAGCAAAAATGTTATCTGTAAAAATTTCATGATCAGAATTTCAACAGCAAAAATTCTTCAACTGAGGTGACCCAAGCCAAAGCAATCATCACTCGATCGAGTCAACGACTCACTAGTGTCACATGAACAGGAATCAGAACCAGAATCAGAATCAGAAGGGTTTTATTGCCATGTGTGCAAGAATCACAACATTAGGAATTTGCTGCGGTAATCGGTGGAAGAAAATATAAATGATAAGAAAAAATTTGAATTTAGGAATACACAATGAAATGTCTCCCTGGTTATAAAGTTATATATATATATATATGCATGCCCTGATGTGGGGGCTGGGGGGTGCGTCAACATGGTCGGGACATAGAAGGGGGTGCGTGGCTAAATAAGTTTGGGAACCGCTGGTGTACAGGGAGAAGAGGAAGGGGAGAGAACACAACCCCAAGGGGAACCGGTGCTGTTGGTGTGCAGGTCCGAGACACTCTTTCCCAGCCTCACTTGCTGCTTCCTGTCTGTCAAGAGACTTCCTGACTAGTGATCCACCTGCAGATGGGGTGTAATTTGATTGGCTAACAACCACTTGACTCCACTGAGTGATGATTACTTTGGTTTGGGTTACCAGGAGGTCACCATAGTTGTTAAATTTCTGGTGTGAATTTTTGCTGATGACAGTTTTACATTGAAATTCTTCAAGCTATCATACACATGCGATCCAACACTACCAACGGCAAACCACAAAGCATTGCAGGATTTTGGCTGCTTTTATTTCATAAAGTAAACTTTTATATTAAAGTTCCACAGGTCTTTTTAACTTGTTATGTGAACGTAGGGTTAGGGTTAGGGTTGTGAAACTTAGCTGACGAAAACCTATTGATATTAATGATGAACAGCTCATGGTTCAAAACAGTTTTTTATAATCAAAGATTTTTTACAGTCATAAGTGATTATTGTATATTTTAAAAGAAACTTGATAAGTGGCATTGGCATTCTTATAAAATTCAAAATATATGACTGGTTTAGTTGCCTTTACTTATTCCTAATATAAATTGGGTTAATTTTCATTACATACAAGCCAAAATATATAACAATGTCTTGAGCACAGCACACAGATGTTTAATCTATAATAATGTGTTTTAACAACCACTGTTTGTGTTAAACATACAGTAATAACACACACATTAAACAGCTTTTACTCCTCCAGATTGCCCATTCGGTGCTGCGATGGTGTGTTATTCATGCACAAAGCATAAAATTATCTATTAAAACATGGAATCTGTTTATCTAATCTCTTTTTCTCAGCCCTTATCTTTCGTCCATTCATCTTTCAGTCCATCACTCTCGAGTTTTTAGTTGACTCACCACAAGTTTTTCACCTTTTCACTTGTAATTGTTCCATCTTTTGTCCTTCTGTCTTCTGGGGTAATGCTATATTTCCCTGGGTGTTCTCTCACTAGATTATCTCATGTTGGGGAGCCGGTCCTGCAGAATTAATCGCATCAAATGCTGATAACAGAGACAAGGAGAAGAGGAGGAAAAGCGCAGATTACATTTGGCTTCAGTTAGATAAATAGCTTCAGCTAACCACAAACACCATCTCTAATATCCTTCCTACTTCTTTTTCTTCTCATCCTCCTGTTTGTGTCAGACATCCTCTTGATTTCTTCTGTCCGCCATGAAGGCAGAAGGTGTTTTGATTTACGTATTTTTCCAGTTTTTCCCTTTACTACAAATAATGAAGTTGTTCTCTGGAAGCTGTGTATCAACATGATAGTATGTTCCTGATAAATTCTCACTAATACAACCAGGCACAGAAAACTCATACATATTCAGTTACTCATATTCATTCTGCAAACATTAATGCACCACAATTATACACTATCCTAAGGACAAATTTTCATCCACAGCTCATGAATAAAATTTTATTTTGTCATTTTATTGCACTAGATATTAACACTGACCATTGCACCTTATCTTCCTATTTCCTTTAAAACTTCTGTTAGGGTGGTGTAGCATTGTGGTTTATGCTCTTTTATGAAAGAGGAACCATTCTACATGTTAATTTGTGATATTAATTTTATTAAATTAATAACCAAATTGTATAGTTTTAAGAAGACTCAAAGGTTGTTTTCATCGATAAACTGTCGATAATATCCGTGGGTCTGTGTTTCAGCTCAATGAAGAAACAAGTTTGACAATTAAAAGTTTTAATTCTTCAAATTAAACTAATGATTTTGAAATTGACAAACAGGAAATAACAATCAACATTGGCAACTTTGTGGGACAATCTTTAATAGTTGATATTGTAAACTTGCTCAAAATAGACCTTCTGTTGGAGGTGCTGAAGGTTGAGAGTGATATGATGTGATTATGGATGCGTGTGTGTGCAAAGTGTAGTGAGAATTGAACATGAGGTGAGATGAATGCGTGTGTGCATCTGATTTTGCTTCAAGAAGAAACAGGTGTCTGAGTGAAGTGATGGTTTGGATAAACTTAGGTTTAGTTGGAAAAGATGCATCAAAACGCTATCTGTCGTGTTCTGCCTCACCGAAAATCGGACTCCCTGTTGGACCCGGGACGTCACCTTAGGATGATGTTTCATCCAGGGCACCTTGGCTGGCAAAGAAGACAAAGATGCGCCACGAACCGGTCCAGAGTTGCCCTCGGTACACGTTGGTGGTAAAGCATTTTGTCGATGCGCTTTCTTAAGTTAATTCACTCAGAAATCAAAGACTCTGGACGAGTCTGCGTTAGCAGTTGCAATTCAGCTATTCTGTCTGGCTGACAGGAACAGCTAGGGGTGGGGGTGGGGGGGGGGGACGAGCCGACCGGCTCTGTCCCCCCTTTGGTTTCTTCAGGTCCTCTCTCTTTCGTTGTCAAGCACGAACTGAAACATAAGATTGAAACTTACCAAAAGCCTTTCTCTTCTCAAAGCAAACGTGTGCGTCAGCAAATGTGTTTTGGAGTTTACTGTGAGAATCTGTGTGTGGGTGTGTTTGAGTGTGTGTGTGAAGGTCGCTAACAAACATCCTCAAATATTATTTAATTAAAGGAGACATAACATGAAAAACCCACTTTTTTATCCGTTAACACAGTGTGTTTCACATTTTAAGTGTCTAAGTGAGCAAAAAGGCTTATATTATTCACTGGAGTTGCTATTTAGATATTTAATAATTAAGTTTTGGGCATATTTGTCCACCCGTTCAGTTTTTCAAATTATCTTTTAAATCAGTAATTTATTTCGTCAGGATAACTACCAAATATGGTAATGGCCCTCGGCTAAACACAGAGCCAATCCGCCATTTTTTCATCTCGCTAAGATTTTTTGTAGTCCTATTGGAAAAATGCAGAATGTCTGGTTATTTTAGCCACACACAGCTCAAAACTGTTCCTCGTTTTAAGGAAGGGTGGTGTGGCAGTATTTAAACCCAGGAGCTGATGACACTACTGCTAAAAAAAGACAGAAGAAAAAGTAGTGTGTGTGTGTGTGTGTGTGTGTGTGTGTGTGTGCGTGCGTGCGTGCGTGCGCGCGCGCGCGCGTGCGTGCGTGCGTGCGTGCGTGTGTGTGTGCGCGCGCGCGCGTGGTTCGTTTGTGTCTCCTGGCTAGTAAGTACCGAGGGCTTCATCTATCTAAAATGAGTCATTTCCATCTGAATGTGACAGCACCGGGACACAGCAGCAGAGCGGTAAGCTTCATATCACTCTAAAATGTCGACAAACTTTACTTTAGGTTTACGGGCATTAGCAGCACTAAAGCGTTAGCATCCGGCTTGCTATCGCTAGCACAGTATGCTAGTAAAGTTAACACCCAGATTAATGTGGATTTGGCTGATTTTCGTGGAATAAAACGTGATTTCTTATCAACGCCTTCTTTTACACCAGATGTACATCCACTGATTGTAGCAGCAGAGAGCCTGTGTGTTATTTTATGTGAGTGTGATGTAATCTTAGCATCCAGTAAATAAAGTCCCATATCAGCTAAAATGCAGCGTGACAAAGTCATTAAAGTGCGTCAACACAGTGGATTTAATAGTTTTAAAGAACAATCTCTGAGTGAAGTGAGGTTAGTTTTTTGTCTCACTGCAGATATAAAAACGAACTCTGCATCAGTCAGACGCAGCAAAGCTCACCGTCTGTATGAGCGTGAGCATCGGAAAGCTGATCAAATCAGCTGTAAAATAATTAAAACAACAGTAAAAATGCTCCTTTGCTTTTTAGAGTCCACATCCAGAAGTCTGGAGCCGTGTTTCACTGACAGGCTGTCAGACTAAAGCCCTGATGAGCTCAGCTGGGACAAACTGGTCTGATGTTTAGGTAAGTGAAGATCTGCTTCTCCAAGTCCTTGAGATGCTAGTAAAAATAATTTAGCCAGCTTGCTAATGTTACTTTTCTTCTCCTAAGGAACACAGAACGCTCAGATGTTGGAGCTCACGTCACCTACTGAGGAAGGAGACCCACCAGTAAAGAGACGGTCTGGACCAGACCAAAGTGAGTGATGACACACCTCAGCCACCCTCATCATTAAGAACACCTCACCCCCTGTATCACTCCGTCTGATGACAGCAGAGTGATTTATTTGATGTTTTACTTGTTTAGTCTGTTTAGAAATTATTGAATTACATTATTTTCTGTAATCGACCATATGATCTGGATGTGTGCAGAATAACTTTCCCCAAATTCAGCAGCAGCTGGCCTACAAAAACAGCTGCAGCATGTAGTAAGTCTGTCTGCACTGCTCTCTAATGAGCTTCCTTACATAAGGAATCATTTGTATAATTTTAGTGTCACTATTTTATTACATTTGTAAGAATATGAAGTCACTGCAGCAACACAAACGTGACTATAAACATGAAAGCTAAAGAAACAACTTTCCTAAAGCTGCTTGTAAACAAAATATGTCATTAAAGTTATCGTCTATCATTGCAGAATATGGCGATGACATCATGGAACTGGTCTTTGGAAAAGTTTTCCCTGAACCAACTCCGTTTCTAGATGAGGTAGAGAAGATCTGCATCTCACCAACTCTCTGGTCTCAGTATTCAGACAACGGAGGTCTCCCACTGTTATCCAGGACCAGTTTGAAGCCCACATACTTCCCCTCCCTCATCATCAGGAAACATCAATCCGTATCCTGAGGACAACAGAAGACGGCAGGAGGACAGGAACTCTGAGACCTAGATACCACAGCACCGGGACACAAAGCACCTGTGTGCACAATGTCTGTTTAACTACTAAAACCTGTTTATTATGTAGTTCTACTTATTTGCTGTGAGGTTAATGCTTAGAAAATGTGTATTTTAATTTAAACAATAAAAAAATCACTGATTGTATGTTTTCTTTTAGATGTAATGGTCCAAACTCAGCCTTGTAGACATTTATTGCATCCTGTAGGTAAATACACAGAACAGGCTCAGATCCAGGATGACCCAGCATGCTCTTCTTCCATTCTGGCTGTTAGGGATTGTATCAATAACTCAATGCCTACTGATGTTTCCACCTAACGGTATTTATTTAGAATGCAGGTAAGATTTAACTATATTTGTTAGCAAAGCAGACTGATCTTGGGAATTTCACTGCAGCACTGATGTCCACCTCTCTGTACACATTAGAGAGAATTACCACTTTACAGCTAAACACATTTAATAAAGATATAGGCTACGCATTGCAGACAATAAAAACAAAGTTCTAAGCATTAGAATTATAATGATCACATTAAAGAACACTTGGAGGAATGTTATTTATTTGTGACTAGAATCTCAAATCTTTAAATTAAAATGTAACTGCTTTTTATCCATTTTCAGCCATTAAGACACCCAATATTAAATAAGACTACTTATAAAATTATTTATAATTATATGTATGTATATATATAGATAGAGATCTTAATAAAATATATTTTAATGGTGTTTTAATGAGCTGTATCATTTTTTAAAACATTTTTCATAGAAATAAATAAGCAAGCAGCATTCCTTGTGTGTGTGCGCGTGCGCGAGCCTGCTCGCTTGTCTCGTCGGCCGTGACGGATGTGTGTGTGTGTGTGTGTGTGCGCGCGCACGTGCCTGCTCACTTGTCCCTCCGTCGGCCGTGACGGGTGTGTGTGAGTGACTACAGACAAATGCATGAGAGAGTTAGCAGCCATGAAACAGCTTGATGAACTACTCTCCCCACATGTTTTAAAAATGCTAATATGCTATGCTAAATCTGCTATGCTAAATAATGATTTCTCTATAGAACTACAAAGTCCGGCTGGGGGAGGAGAGTACAGGTCTGCACTATGGAGGGGGGCGGAGTTTACAGCTCCTCCTCCAGTTTAAAGAGACAGTACCCAAAAACGGCTCGTTCTCAAGACTCTCCTCAGAACAGGGGTAGATGAGGGTCTGTAGAGCAACTATAATGAGGAAATCAGACCAAAGAACTGCAGTTCCACTGTTTTTAGACCCCCAACTGAAGGATTTAGATGTAAAAAGGAATAACTTAAAAGCATGTTATGTCTCCTTTAAGTATGGATTCATTAATCCATTATAATTACCCAAAGCATAAGAATCATTCATTTGATTAAACACATTTATAATGAGCAAAATGACAATGATTATTCTTTAACATTAAAATCAAGAAAGGAAGTTTTAAGACTTGTTATGTTATGACTACATGTCCATGAGAACTCCTTCTTCTGGTACTGCAGGTGTTCAGATGTTATGGTTTCCAGCAGACTCTTGCAGACTTCATGTCTGCAAAGGTCTCAATCTGTGGGTGAAAGTTCTCAGCGACCCAGCTCTTTGACCCAGCCGAGTCAAATGACCTTTTGCACAGAAAACCCATATTTCCTCACATTACATTTCCCCCCTTTCACGACGACATGGTGGTTAAGCAGAAACCATCTAACGTCGTGACCTCATTAACGTGATGAACCCATGTAGGTAGACATGCATGTTCCAGATGAAGGCAGGAGCGATGAAGCGTCTCCAGAGGTCTCGTGTAGAAGGGAGTATATCCTGATCAGATGATTAAGGCCAAAACTGTTGCAAATCATTGTAAAGTAATCCACTTTGGAAATCTTGAAAGCAGAGCTATGTCAATAGCAGTTAATTTTATCAGCAAATATTCAAAGGTATATTCAAAGGATAAGGTAGCCCGTGTGTCCACACGGAGCTGGGCAGGTGATGTAACCCTCGGGCGTAGTCCAGGCGAAGTCCAGGGACGACCTCGATTCCTCTCGAGCCACGACCGAAGCCCCATGCAACAGGAACCAGGTGGAGTAAGGTGAAGACGACCCTCTGATGGCGGAGACCCCCATGGAATGGAAGCAGACATCGAAGGCCGGACGAGCTCGGAGAAGGAGACAAAGTGAGACAGCCCAAACGATAGATTGCGCTTGATGCAAATCAAAGAAATGATCAAAAACCTATCTATGGGTACCTCTGGGAAAATGTGAAGGCATTTTGTGAATTATCTAAAGAAGAAATGTTCTGCACCCTGTTCTACATGTCATGTGAAAACATGATGCAGAGAAAACACAAATAAAAGAAATAAAATCCTAACTGATATGTGAAAATCATCAGGCTGCACTTATTAAAGGCTTATATAAAAAAAATCATCAAAATGAAAACGAAGGGCAAAGTGGCTTGTAGCCCTTTAAGGGAAATTTTAACAAGTTAAAATATGTAATCAACAACAATCACATTACACAAAGCACTAATAAAAGATAGATGTATAAATCAGTTCTAAAAATGTAAATCAGTAGGTTAGTAATCCTTAAAAATGTGAGTTAGTAACAGGACCCTGGCTGGAGGCAGGTAACCTGAAAAAAAACTCAAAGGATATCACATTTGTTAAAAATTCATCCAACAAAGATTGAATTTGTAATGTTCCACCAGGTTGTGGAAAAGTGTCCGGTCAGAATCGATACGTTCAGTAAGCGGATTAAACCGTGTGTTGCGAACCCACAGAGAAACGAGTTTGGACGTGTCTGTGGGAGCCGTGTCATAATAGATTTGGTCATCATGCGGTTTGTATCTGGTGTTACGAACCCACAGGGAAACTTGGTTGAATTTACCTGCGGGACCCGTTTGGAACTGGAGCGAAGCTGATGGTCTAGCTGTTAGGTCAGAACCTGATTTTACCTGCTCAAAGTTGTGTTGCAGCTTAACGGAGGCAAGTTTGTTATGATCAGAAATAGTAGCGAACTGGAGATGCGAAAATGACGCTCGCAAAGCAGGAGGAGGCTCCCCACCCCCCTTTTGTTTCCCAAACTTATGTCGTGTCTGTGAGACAGGAGAAGCATAACAAACAACAGTTCTTAAGCTCTTAAAAGCCCTATTACCAAGAAGATGCACATTGTCACCAGGATCGTGCTGAAAGAGCAGATGTTCAGACGTCCAAAGACTTGGAGGTGTTGGACTTGGAGGTTCTGAAAAGGAGTGATCCAAGGATGGTTGTGTCGCGGGTGTCAAAGCAAACCTAGCCATGTTTAGAATCAGATACAGACATGACGCTATCGAAAGGAACATGTTCTGCCCTGAAAACTGAAGCCAAGAATACTTTATTCCCAAGAATGATGGAGGTTCCCACACAGAATCAGAAAAACCCGGGTTAACCAGAGTATTTACAGACTGACTAAAGTTCCGCCCCGTAGAAGGTGCCACACCTATCTCCGGGTCGGAGGTCAAAGATGTCAGCTGAAGTGGTGGAAGGTCAGTGTCGATTTCTGCAATGACCCGCCCGCTCGGAGGAGGGGTTCCCCCGAACAGCCTGAAGTCCGCAACGGAAAACTCAGTGCCACTCAGCACCCCCCCCCCCCTTTGTCAGGCGGGGCCCTGAGCAGGGCATCACTGCACGCACCTACTGCTCGCGGGCCGGGTGGCCATTCTGTGCCCGTGAGAGAGGTGAACTCAGCAACCACCGAGCCTCCTTCAATATCGCCACTGACCACAGTGCTGCTGGAAACCGCAGGATTTTCTGCGCCATCGTGGTCACCTGAAAGAAAAGTCACAGGAAAGAGTGCACAGTGGCCAGGGACAGAGTCACACCCCTGTGAAAGAAGAAAAGAGTTGGCCACCGTATTAGCAGAGGTCACAAACTGAGAAATGACAAAGTCATTCACAGAAAGGTCAAGATGTCTAGTCACAAACCCTTCAAATGGTAGGATGGGCGCGTCTGAAGGCCACAAGCTTTTCACGGCAGCTGATGTTTCCATCTCGCCCCGGGACACAAGCAGGGTTGTGCACGACTTGGACTGACGATGAATGCAGACCTCTGATTCAAGCGGTGGGTCACAGCTGGAAGAATTCACACCCATGCTGGATAGATGGGCTTCATCTAGCATGGTGTAAACAGAAAAAGCATCAGGAACCACAGGTTTAAACACAAGCTGTTTGTCAGAATGGTTAACCATAGGTTCAAGAGATTTATTTAGCATTAAATTAGCAGAGAAAGTGTCGTTAAGTTCAAACCTTGATGTTATTGGTGGGTTTTTGACCCCCTGGAAGGAACAAAGGCAAAGAAATAGCAATGTGACTGTAAACATCATGTTGCTTGAATTCACTTCAGGAAGTGCAAAACAGAACCACCTCCGACCCAGTGCAGCTGGTACCGAACCGCAGTCATCCGTCCCCACCGCGTCAGACCGGCGGCACCCGTCTAATGCGGGCCCGTTCGCGTACGCGGTGGGACCAGCGAGGTCCGGCCGGTAAACAGTCTCCTTTGTCTTGGTGTGTTCTGGAAGCAGAACGTCAGAGAACCTTACATCAGGTGTAACAGTGCAAGAAAGATTTTGTCGTGTCTCGTCCATTTCTCATTAAATACAGAGCAAATCGCGTTTTTAACTTCTGAGCCCACGTTTTAACACCCGGTTCAGCCCCTTAATTTATCTCACAATTAATGACTGCCCGTGGCGAAACTTAACTTTACGGCACAGGGTAAAACAAGGAATTGTTGATAGAGGAATGACTGTAACACAACTTCACCACAAGATGGAAGAAAAAGTCATCGAACCGGCAGAACGGAAGCCTGAAGCCTGACCCTTTCACCGGCTCAAAGAGAGTGAAACCCACGCGGCCGGGTTGGTATTAGACGGATAAAACTCCTGTTTTACTCCGCCTGAAGGCCACGTAGCAAAATGTCGATTCCACACACCGGAGTGATTTACAAGAACCGAAGTGATTCACAAGAACCACCGCCAAAATCCAAAGAGGATTTTAGGATGCAGAAGCACTGCGAGA